TATATATATATATATATATATATATATATATATATATATATATATATATATATATATATATATATATATATGCAGAGTGTTCAAAAAAAGTTCTAAAGTTGTGAAGGACGGGTATACGTGCGGTCGCGTGTAAATACGTTTACATACTCGAAATGAACGGATTATTAATAACAGCAAAAAATGCTCTATAACTCGGAAATAAATGGTTTTTGGAGTCTTGCTTTTCGCTTTGTTTTCACGAGTACTACATATTTCTAAAGTTTGTTACCACCTTTTTTGAACACCTTGTATATAGCAATACACGGAAAAAAATTTTGACTAAATGTGTCTAGCGAAATATGAATGAACCAGAAAAATTTTATATATATATATGCATATATATATGTTTTATTTATCTTAATATTTACCTTAATAATACTTTTAAATAATAATAATTATTTAAAATTAAAACTTAGGTAAACGAGTCAACTTATTATTTATATTTATATATATATATATATATATAAATTTGATTACACATACATATATATATAAACTTTCGGCCGCTACCGTACGCGCTACATCGTTACGTCGAAGGCAATAATCGCAAAAAGGAATTCAAATGTATCGTGAAACACGTGCAATGACTGCCTTTGCTAATACGCAAATGTAACACACACCGTTGAATTCTCGATAGTTGTAGTTTGTATAATCATCGATTTTACTTTCGTATTTATTCGTACGACTTATAGGGAGATGGAGGCTCTATTTCGCTCCGATGAACTTTAGCTGTTAGAGTCCTTTTTAGCGTGCTTGATGTAAAAGAGTTCTGTCAGTCTCGTTCGTTGGATCCTTTATCTCATTCTCGTAAACTGTTCTGACAACGAGCCCTGGGAGGGACCGTAGTAAGTGCGAATGCTCGCTCGCTCGCTCGCTCGCTCGCTCGTGCAATGTTCCGCTTTGTATGTGATGTTACAATGCCAAAGTCTGGACAGCCTTAATTTTTATCTTAATTTACTCGATTTAAGTCCGAACTCGATTCGTTATCCGTTTAGGCGAGTGCACTGAGAAAAGGAGCTGCATGAATGAACTGATCGCTGCTCGAACCTTACGACCATTCTCGTACAGATATACGTAAATTCTGTTCCTGCACATATGTTGCGAACGGAAGCCCAAATTTCCCAATCGGATCCGCTCGATCGAACCGATCGATCGTGTCGGCGGGATGCCGAGGTGAGGAGAAGAGGCGGAGGTCGATCGCGTCGCGAGCAACTCTCAGTTGATCCAAGCGACGTTTTCTCAGTGTAACGACGGTGCTCAGTATTATTTTGTTCTTTTCCGTGGATCGCTGTACGACTTTTCGCCGCGTTCTATTTATTCGTGACCGATGAATGACGACTGACCCTTTATACGCGACTGCAAAAGCAACGTATCCGCCGTCACGCATATGTAATGTACGCAGCGCACTTTGCTAAGAACGTCGCGAGTCGATACGTGGCGGAGAAAGGCTCGAGAGAGGCTGATCCGCGCCAGCCGGACATCCGCAGAAGTCCGCAGTCGAGGATGCGTGATGTACAAATTTATACATGTAACGATCACACATATACGTGTATATCAGTGACAAGAATCCTGTAGAAATATCGATATACGTTCGTGCGATACACGGTGAAGACAACCAAAACTGCAGAGTTACGTTAGATATGAAATTTTGTTACGGAATTTATTTATTTGCGCGTGAGCTCGATACAAAGGTACGAGGTGTGATACCATTTATATACATATAATCATATTTTTATTAATATCATATATATAATTGATCATAGCTTGAATCATAATTGTATAAGAATTAATGAAATTTTTTTCACTTTAATAACTGACCCGAACGAATATGTTTCATTTCAACCAATTGACGATCGATTCGAGCAAATTCAGCCGGAGAATGCTTAACTGACGATTGATTTCGACAAATTTAACCCTTTATTTATTACTGATACCAATAGGGACCACTTAGGATTGGACAGTTGAAACCTTATAAATGTGCTATTTAGAGTGTTTTTGACAATATTTCATTAAAAAAAAGTTACTAGAATATTCCATGAATTATGCGTCTTAAAGGGTTAATTAAAAACCGTTCAACTGATGATTGATATGAGCGAAGGATATGAAAAATCGTTCGATTAACAATTGAATTTGGCAAATTTAATTAAAGGCTGTTTAATTGACGATTGATATGTGCAAATTCAATATTTTTAATTGAAGAGCGTTTGATTACTGAGAATTGCAATTGATTTTGTGGATAATATTCTCAGAGTATCATGACGTGGAAAATATCGATGAGTAGGACTTGCGTTGAACGAAGCACTGAGGATATCAATCGTCACCAAGCAATTTTCGATTAAATCAACTGAATTTGTTCATATCAATCGTCAATTGAACGTCCTTTAATTAAACTTGCTAAGTTCAATCGTCAATTAAGCGATCTTCAATTACACTTGCTAAGTTCAATTGTTAACTGAACGATCTTTAATTCCTTTCATTCATATCAATCGTCAGTTGAACGGTCTTTAATTGAATTCGTTGAGACCAATGTTGTAATCTATCTAGATGCATTTATTTCATTACAGTAAATATATTTATCTAATTACAGTAGATACTAATTTCATTTTACCTTGCATCTGTATCT